GGACATAATTTCTATTTTTATCCTTATTGGCCCGAAACTTTGCAAAATTATGATTTTGCCCCTGGGTTGTCTTAGTCTCATAATTCATCTCATTGAGGCCTCCAATATAACTGTTGGTCTATATTCATTTCTATTTCTCATTATTGGGTCTTGAAACTTCACTAGAGTCTCTAACTTTCTCTTTGCTCAGTCCCAAAAAACTTTTACTTTGCGATTTAGTCCCTAGGAATCCCTCTGTCCCTCCAGGGAACCTCTAGGACCTCTGCCAAAAGGGGTTTAGTAGCCTGCCCTTTTTAGGCTAATTCTGATACTTCTAGACCTAAAATTCAGGATGTGACATTTTGGGGAGGGAGCAAAACGTCTCTTTTTTTAATTATTTTTTATTATATTTTTTCTTTTTTTTCTTTTCTTCATTATTTTTAATTCTCCAAAATCCTGCAATCAAAAATTCAAAAATAAGGTAGCATTAATTGTCCTTGAAAATCAATTAATCATAATTATGACAATTTTACCCCTATTATGCACTAATTCAAATTAAAGAACTCTAATATGAATTATACTCAAATGATGCAATTAAGGACCAATAATAATGACAAAAACTCATAAAAAAATATATGAAAATGCATGCAAAAACATAGATTTGTCACTCTTATATTTAGGATTGGAGGTAGTATAATTAGAAAAGGAACAACAAAAAATTGTTTTAATTTATATGTAATTACTCAGCTTCAGTGAAAACAATGATGTGTCAACTTCGCACAAGAGGCTCCGTTTCTGAGAATCCAAGTACAAAAAAAGACAGGCATGATGAGGGTAATAAGAACCCTAAAATATGAACATAAGGGAAGTTCAAAACGGAACTAGATCCTCTCAAAAGTATTTTTCTTAGTGTCCCTCAACATCCTAATATCCTTTGCGCCCAGATAATATAAATGCTGAGTGCGCGCCAAAGTCATCGAGAATATTACTTCCTTCCTGAAATCTCACCATTTGTTGGGGAATCTGAGTGATTGGCTCTTTCTGCTTTATGTCAATGGTGATCACCTCATGATCATCTTTCCTCTGTCAATTTTAATTAGAAGGCAAGCACCAATTGCACATCAGCACAATAAAGAAGTTGATCATAAACCTTCTTAATATACATAATCAAATAATTTATCAATGTCAGAAAAAAAGTGGGTTGAAATATTATATTTATGACAAAATTCAGTGCTCAATTAGCACTTATACTAAGGATGAAAAATATAGTAGTAAGCAAAAAGAAAGTATATAAAACAAGAAAAGTCTTCAGAATTGAAGAGTAGAGTAGTAAAGGATGAGGCGTACGTGAACATTACAAAAAAATTATGACTTTTAGCAATGACTTTCGACAGTGTCGCCGCCAAAATTTTTGAACTTCTGCAGCAACACAGCCACGTGGTTGTTGCAAGTGAATGGAGGAGAAATCTGTAGGTTGAGATGAGAGAAGTTGTCGTTGCAGCTCCACCATTTGTTGACCACTCTCATCAGAAGCCAAACCTATTTGATCCATTGCAGGGAATGTTAGTATGTATTGCTTCTACCATCTGAACTTAATCGAAGAAGCTAATTATATATCTTGAAAGATCATCCTCATACAAGCTACAATTTCTTTTGCTTCTTTATGAAAATAATATTCTTGAGAAAAAATGCTCAAAATATTCTTTCTCAAGAATATTACCTCCTTCCAACGTGGAAAGTGAAATTCATAGCATAACTTTAAAATTAATGGCAAAATTTTATTTGAATTTGAGGCAGAAGATCGGATAAATTATATGTAATTGGAATTTCACTCCATAATCCTTGGGTCGTCATATTTCAGCTAAATTTATTTATTGTAGTTAAATCCCCGTCTAAATGTTTGCAATAAATAATTTATTATTACAGATATAATGAAAACAAATAGAATGTGTTTGAACGAATGAAATGGGTCTCATGCACACTTCAATTCTTGTATAAAACTGATCTTTCTCCCGCAGCACTCTTTGATTATTATAGCACCATTGCAGAAGCTTTAAACTACATAATTCACCGCAGTTTTCTGAATACACATACGTACGTAACACAAATATCAAAAGCAAACACAAATAAATTAAAAAAGAAGAAAAAAGTGGAATTATTTTATTGAGCAAAAGCATTTAATAAGCTACAAGTCATGTAAATTGGGCGGAAAAACAAATGGTTCATTTGCGTAAACTGAAGGTATAGAAACATAAGCAAATGAAGTTTAAAAAGGACAACAAAAAAGCAAACCCAAAAAAAAAAAAAGAAGCCTTCATGTAAGGATGAAAAAAAGGTTGAAATGGCTTATGTAAGCAATACGCTTAATTAAAGTATCATGTAGAGGAGAAAAAGGGAAATTGCAATCAATATTACTTCTCTAGTCCTTAATTTAAGACTTATCTAAATAATTTAATTTAATTTAATTTTAAAAATTAGTTAAAGTTGGTTGATTATGATAAATATGACATGTTTTCCTATAATTCCGGCCTAATTTTTTCCCTATAAATGGCCGCTAAAGAGAGTCAATCTGACTTAATTAATGCCCAAGAAATTGGTGCAGGTGATGGCATTAATATGCTTTTAGGACTTCACAGCTTATTGTTGTCTTAATCAAAGATTAAGAGCATTCTAGGCATATGATAAATCTGTAACTCGATTACTAATTCTGTAAATCAATAAAAATAAACTTTTTATAGATTCAAAATGATTTTTTTTATCATCATGAGATGCTAGTTTATATATTTGAAATGAATTATTAATGTGAAGAATCATTTTTTTTTTCCTGGTTTATTGTTCAAGATGAATTTTTTCTATCAAGTGAACGTCTATTGGACAAACTCCAAATAGGAGACTATCTTATACCTTGGTCGAAGATGGGTATAAGATGACGGGGGCTTCTTCTTCTCATCCAATATTTGACTTTTCTGGGTGTTGCAAGGGATTAATTAGATTACATCTTATACCTCTAGCGCAATTATTCATATGAAAGTTAATTACAAATGCATTAACACTGAGAGATTGTCTTTGTAACCATCAATTCATCATCTCAATATTAAGGTGGAATGCTTATTTTGATAATCGGAATGCTTATTTTGTTCTGAGAAGAAAGAAACGAGAAATCATCTCTTCTTTCATTGTCAATGGTCCAAAGCCAATTGGTTTGGATGTCTTTTGGATTCACATCAGATACCTTGCTTAATGATAACCGTGGTAATCAGTTGTTACTGCAGATTTTGAACAGCTTTGAAGTGAGCTTGGGCCAGCAAGTCTACCTTATATTCTATATGGTTCCTTCGTAATAGGAAACTTGCTAATAATGAAGATTCAACATCTGAAGTTGTTATTAACCAGAGATCAATATGGAATGGCCAAATGGTTCTTGTCACTACAATAAAAATCACATTTCACGTTCCCATCTTATATCAGTAAAAAAAAAAACACCGTTAAAAAGAGCGGTGTATTTTTGTAATTAAATCAAGGTAAATTTTACTTTTTACAGTGGCTATTTACAAAACCGCCATAAAAGATCCAACAATCATGCTGTAAAAACCTAGTGACAATTAAACTTTTTATGGCGTTTGGTAAAACGATGTTGTATATATGTTTTTAACGGCGACTATTTGCACCAATGACGTAGTATAGGCTTTTTACAATGGTTTTCCTTTGAACTGCAGTAAAAAGTTTTTGAAATTTTTAAAATCCTATCCTTTTTCGCAACACACATTTCACTTTCGTCCAAAACTTTTCTGTTGTCGTGGTCTCTCACCCCGACACCACTTCAGACCTTAACAACAACCAACCACTGTTATTTCCCTCAACTTTCTGGTATCCCCACCCACTCCATCGTCGTCATTATTGTCTTCACCGTCGTTATGAGTTGGTTACTAAAAGTGTCTTAGAATTAATATACAAATGTAACTTGTTTTATAATTAATATTAGGCTAAAGTATACTTTCAGTTCTTTAACTTTATGTAAGGTTTCAGTTTGGTCCCTTAACTTTAAAAAGTATATTTTTAGCCCTTTAACCCTGAAATTATTAGTTTTAAATGATGATTTTTTGTAACAATTATAGTTGTTTTAAAAATTAAACTTAATATTATAGCATTTAATAATATTTTATCAACATTCAAGAGCTTAATATCATTGTTTTTTGTTAACGATTCCAGGGTTAGAGGACTAAAAGTTTATTTTTTAAAGTTAAAGGATCAAAATGAAACCTTATATAAGGTTAAAGAACCAAAAGTATATTTTAACCTTAATATTATTAATTTACTTATTATTTATCATATTTATTATTTCAAATGTTCTGTAACTTGAAATCTCGAGAAGCTTGTGAAAGAGGATAAAATGAAGAGAATGATTATATTGGAAGAGGAGGAAGATTCTTCTTCTAATGCAAATGACTTGTTAAACACTTGTGGCCGTCAAGAACAACATTTTATGCGTTTCAACCTGAAACCTATGATCTCCAAATTGGTGAAGTAAGAATAATAATCAATATATCAAAAAGTACAATATAAAATTTATAGAAAACCCACTACTATTTGTGGATCATAAATATATAGTACGACTAATATCAAACTCCATGCAATGAAGTATCATATTATACATTCAATAGCTCACACAAGTGCACGCATGAGAGTCAGAGTCCTACTTATAAGTCATTTAAACATTACATATCTTTACAAAACAAAAATCTTTGTCTATCTTTTATAAATTATTCAACGCAGAAGTGTTTTATTTGTTTGAAGAAATAAAGTTTCAAAAAAAGAAATAATATAATCAAAGCTTCAAACTTATGCAGTTGTCACAGAAAATTGCGTACGTAATAAAGAAAACGAAGAATAAGGATTGCAATTATAGTTATTTATTTTATTCATGGGGCAGCAGTAAATGCTTAATAAAATTAGCAAGGGAACATAAATTTTCAAGGACAGAATACTAAAGTACACCAAGCTTCAAATGTAGGTTGCTGCCTTTACACTACTTGGAGGATGTAACATATGGTTTGAGTGATGGTGAGGATGAGAAGTATGATTGCAGCAATAGAAGCCAGGGTTTGCCAAGGTGTGTTCCAGTAATCTCTCCTCAAAGTTTCCTTTCTCTTGTGCCACGGATCTTTATAAAACTCATTCAACCCTTTGGACATGTTAAGGTATTCAACATTGAGATTGGGTTGAATTATATTTTTCCCAAAACCGTCAAATAATGTAGCAACCTCATTGGCATCACCATGCCAGTTGTTAATAATCTTTTCATGAGCAAGAACCTCCACATCTTTATTTGTCTTGATTAGAATATCCAATATAAAAATATAGTCGCAAAAATATGGTTGAAATGGATAATGACACTTTTCTAAAGCCATCAAATTGGGGAACAAAATTTCAGTCATATCTCCGACATAAATTTGAGGAATCTCAAGAACAGGGCTTGAAAATTTCACGTCTAGAAAGTAATTGCTTGTGCTTGCCATCAACTTCACTCCTGCCTCATGTAACTCATTTGCGCTATACGTAAGCGTATCAGACCCATCCTCTTTGAAGAAATTCCTTTTTAGTTGGGTTCTCGGTAAGTAAAATAATCTAACAAGATCTGGAAATGCTTTATGATCTTGTGATTAGGCTCTAAGTTTTGCACGTTAAATTCGTCAAAGTAGGAATATGTGAGCTCAATAAATGAAGGGAGTTTACCTCTGCTGTTATGTGGAAAGGCTATATCATATAGCTCTTCAAGGAAAAAGAATGGAAGTTGATTCTCAAGTAAAACCAAATCATTTAATATAGCTTCCTCCAACCATGATTGTGAGAGTTTAGCATCGTCTTCTGGGTGAGCTTCGTAGTCCATAATAAAGAGTTGAATGATGAAAGCAGAATCAACTAATATCAGTTTCACAAGATCCTTCTTCTCATAGTTGATGCTCTCAAAATAAGAAGTACGAATCTTTGGTTCAGACTGTATTGCTAAGTTAACCAAACTGTCTGAGTCTGCCATAGCTCCTTGCACAAATCTTTTAAACATTATTTTTTTCTGCCTCTTCATTTCTTGCAGCCTCACATCACCGTGATGGAAAGGACCAATGGAAACAACCTTAGGGGTGTAAGCTCCCTCATTTAGAAGACGAATCGTTGCGGGCACCCTATAGATATAGCACAAAGGCGACAAGAGGCCATCTTCGCTAATCTCTGTCAATGCTTTTATGTCTATGCGGATAGCCTCATCTTCCATCTATATATCAATTTAGATTCAGAAGGAAAGCAGAAATTACGCATTAGCAAAGCAATGAAGGTGACCATAAAGCTTGGACAATACAAATGTTTCTTTTCTTAATAACTGAACTGTAATCGCATCATATTTGCTAAGAATAAGAAAAGCATTAAAAAAAGAGGCTCCAATGAGGTGGGAACAAATTAAAAGGAATGTAACAAAATTAAGAAAAGTCTAAGAAGTAAGGAACTATATAAACAGAAGCAACCATAAAAGTAGTAAGCAAAGGGAAAGTATAGAGAAAAAAAAGAAAAAGCTTTAAAATTGAAGAAAAGAGTAGCAAAGGATAATGCATACGTGTGGTTGTTGCAAGTGATTGGAGGATAAATTTATAGGCTGAGATGAGAGAAGTGGTTGGAGCTCCACCATTTGCGGAGCACTCTTATCAGACGCCAAGTCTGTTTGATTCAGCTCAGTATGTATTGCCATTTAAACAACAGATTCACGAGACAACAGTGAGAAAATTTGAAGGAGGAGATGAAAGTCTGCTTTCTCTGCTTAGAAGCCTACACCGAAACCACCAAAGTTAACATGAGAATGTAAGACAGATTCAAACAAATAATATATAAAACATATAATCCAGATAATACACAATGAATCCTCTTATAAACAATACAGTGAAAGACTTTAGGATTAGAGTTACCTCTCGCCATAGCTATTGCTTAAGTGATCTGCAATCCAAGATATAAGATAAGAACTGCAAAAGAGATTTGGGGTCAGAAGAATTACTGATTCAAGTCTCTTCTGACTGGCAGAAAGGCACAGTGATGGCAACCGGGAACAGCCGTCACTAGTCAGCGAACCTCAAGGAGCAGATAGGGTTTTTTTTCTCTCACTGAATGTATCACTCAAAAAATTTCAGCCATCAAAACCTTAATTGTAAAAACTCACCATCAGAGTAAATACATTATTGACTGAAAATCATAACCCTACTGGGCTTGGGCCCTTTTCTGACCATAGGCCACTCAGGATATTTTATTAATTCCTAATTAAATACCTAAATAATTTATAATAATAATAATAAAATATCTCACATTCTCCCACTTAGCCCGTGCACTGTATGTCAATTGCCCTATCTTAGATAAGCTAAGGCTATACTGCAAGAATCATGGCGACAAGTCCCCTTAAGTCGGGTATTGCCTTCCATGCATTACAAGTAGCACCCTTACTTAATGAGTATACCTTCATAAATAAACTCAATGTTTATTCGGTTCCTGCCTCATGCTTATCAATCTCAAAACACAAATGTATATACAATTACAATTAGAGATGACAAACCATAAACTAATTTCATTGCTCATACCTCAGCTAATCAAATGAAGGACGAAGTCCCATGTGAGGCACATGCAAAACAAATTCATTCGGTTTCAATCCTTTCATCAAAGGATCTGCTAGCATACTCTTTGTATCGATATGTTCAATTGAAATTTGGCCATCCATAACTCTTTCTCTCAAGCAAAGGAACTTCAATTCGACAAATTTACTTCGACTCTTATTCCTTTTGTTGTTGGATATGGCCATGGCAGCTATGTTATCACAGTACATTCTAATCGGCCTAGAGACTAATTCCACAATCTTAAGCCCCACAATGAATTCTTGATCCAGATTACTTGTGAGCTTGCCTCAAAACATGCAATGTACTCAACGTCACCAGTAGAAGGAGCAGTTGGTGTTTGTTTTACACTTTTTCATGAAATAGCTCCTTCTGCTAACAAGAAGATGTAACCGGTTGTGGATTTGTATGTGTCCATGCATCCTCCTAGATCAGAGTCTGAGTAACCAATCACTTCTAGATTCTCTATCCTCTTATATGTAAGCATATAGTGTTTAGTACCCTGTAGATATCTAAACACTTTCTTTGCAGCTATCCAATATGCCTCACCAGGATTACTTTGGTACCTTCCCACCATGTCCACAACAAAAGCTATATTAGGTCTTGTGTAGACCTGTGCATACATTAAGCTTCCTACTGCTGAGGCATATGGGACCTTTTCCATTTTCCTTTTCTTAAGCTCGGTCTTGGGACATTGATCTATACTAAACTTATCCCCTTTTTCTAGAGGAGTCACATTAGTAGAATAGTTCTTCATCCTAAATCGTTCAAGAACTTTGTTTATATAGGCTTCTTGAGACAAGCATAGAAGGCCTTGTGTCCTATCACTATGGATCTTAATGCCAATGACATAAGATGCTTTACCCATATCCTTCATATCAAAGTTCTTAAGCAAGAATTGTTTCACTACAAGAAAATAGCAAGTCAGCAGCAAAATATTTCTAGCGGTTCAAACAAACCACTACAAATTTATGTATTTCTAACAGTTTTACGACAAACCGCTAGAAATTAGCATCGCTTTGACCATAAAGACTGTGGGGCCCGCAATTTTCTAGCGGTTATATGCCAACCGCTAGAAAATCACAGCTAGAACTCTTCCTGGGTTTTGGCACAAACTTGGTGCCAAAATTCTAGCGTTTATTTTCTAGCGGTTTGGGTGACCAAACCCCTAGAGAATGCAAAGAGTTGTCCAATTTTCTAGCGGTTCGGTGAACCGCTGGTAAATCATACACTTTTCTAGCAATTTTATCGAAAACCGCTAGAAAATATTTAATTTTCCCGAGATGGTTTTGATAATTGTTAGCATTTTTTAGTGGTTGTCACCAAAACCGCTAGAAATTTCTAGTAGTTAATTTAGAAACCGCTAAAAAATTTGTATATTTCCCGAAGTGCCCTAAATGTGGTGGCTAACCGATAGACATTTCTAGCAGTTTTAGCGACAACCACTAGAAATTCGCTACCTATATATACCCTCACGGTCATTTTCACTGTTTCGTTCATTCGTGAAGTGAAGCTCTGCCAAATTCTCTCCACGAAACATATCCGAGTTCGGATTCAGTTGCAGATCCCTATTTTCAGGTAGAAATAGTAATTTATTTATAAATAATTTCTATTCTTATTTTTTTATTTAATTTATTATATTTTTGTTTATAAATAATTTCTCTTTTTATTTTATTTATAAATAATTACTATTTGTTGTTATTAGGATGAGTCGTCGGTCAGGGAAGTGCTAGTTGATCCTGAGAGGGCAAGACCTAGTGAGGATCGTCGTGAGCCATTCCCTAGAATTCATGACTACGATCTCAACGAGGACGATCTTCTCAACTTTATAGAGCAGGACGATATCGAGCGGACTGAGGAAGCTTATTTTACTAGTGATGAACAACCCCATGTTGATGCTGATGCTGCTGAGGAGGAGGAGGAGGAGGAGGAGCAGGTTTTGGGGAATGAGAATCCCCATGCTAAGCAGCGTCCTGCTCCCAGACGTCAGGTCAGTTTTGAGGTGGAATTTGAGGGTAAGTATTTATTTAACTTTTTTAAATTTGACAACTATTTAATTTATATAGAAATTGTTTTAATTCATTGATATATAATTTATTTCTTAATTAAATTTTGCAGCCTCTGAGGGGAACAGGTCCTATAGGAGGTTGACAGCCAGAGAGCTGTCTATGATGACGAGCGGACGGGTGGTTGTGCCGCTCAATGAGTTGGGCCAACCGACGAAGAAAGGTGGTCAGTTGTACAACAAGTACGTGCACCTCCTTGGTCAGCAGTGGACGCTGTTTCCCATTTATGTGCAGGATTGGAAGAAGATCACCTCAGAGAAGAAGTAGCAAGGTTGGGAAATGATGGAGGTAATATAAAATTATTATTTATAATTTTTTTAATTTAAATAAATGATTATATATATTTTTTTCAAATTATTTAATTGTTTGATTGTAATTTTTTATTTATTTAATTTATTTGTTATTCATAATATTTTTAAAGTAGTTAAAAGAATATATATATTTTTTATTTAAATTACTTTATTGTTTGAAAATAATTTGTTATTGATTTCATTAATTTATTACTTATAATAATTTTAAATTAGTTGAGTAAAAATATATTTTCATTTAAATTATTTAATTGTTTAATTATGATTTGTTATTGATATAATTTATATTTTATTTATAATATTTTTAAATTAGTTAAATAAATATATTTTTTTATTGAAATTGCTTAAATTTTTTGTTTATAATTTGTTATTTACTTAATTTATTGTTTTAATCACAGAGTAAATTTATACTAGAGGAGGAGTTGAGGACCGACACGATCAAGAGGTTTAGGATGGCATGGAAGAATAGGAGGGCTGACCTGTGGAGGGAGAAGAAAGGTGACAGGACGAGGCCCCTGCAGGAGATACTGGCAGATGTACCTGGTGGAGTCCCGGAGCAAGACTAGTCCAGTTACGTCTATTTTAGGATGTCGGCTGACCAGATGGTATGATAATATTGTATTAATTATAATTTCTTTATTTTTTGTCCAATTTGACTAATTTAATTTAATTTTGTTTACATTTTGCTTCAGGCTCTTTTCGCGAGAAATGCTGGGAGCGTCAGCATCAGATGATACATCATAGGGCTAGATCCAGGAGCTTTGCGATCACCTATGACGAGATTGTGAGTACTTGAAATAAATTTGTTAAATATGTATATGTATTTAATTTGTAACTAATTATTTCTTTCATTTCATTTACAAAGAGAAAAGACGTAGCAGGAGCAGGGATATATGCCCACTTATGGCAAGATGTGGCCGATTTTGTATAGACTTTGAGACGGGCGTGCGTCGGATGAGGTTGAGGAGATAGCAGTAAGTAATGAATTAAATATTAATATAATATCACAGTGTAAATATCATTTCATAGTAATTAGCCTCTTTATATTAATTTTGATAGGCACGGATGACTCAAGTCGATACCGAGCTGCGTGAGTCTCAGGTGTCTACCTTGGATCCTACCACCTCACTTTTAGCAGGTCATGGTCGGGCACAGCACCCTGGTCGAGTTAGCGGGCTCGGACTTGGACCTATACTGAGTAGGGTGCCCTGCTTAGGTGGCGCTGGCCCTTCATATACTGCAGGGAGCTCTCGA